TACTAACTACTAACTACTAACTACTAACTACTACCACTACCACTACCTACTGCCTACTAACGACTAAACTACCTTCACTCCTACTTAGTACCTACTACTGTAGTTACTACTACGACTACTGCTGCTACTACTAGTAGTAGTACTATTTCTAGTACAAGATAGTACAAGTAGGAGTGGAATTATATGTGCTCGGCCTCAGCAAGTCAAAAATGGACCGGCGGTTGGATTCCCTCTATTTCCTAAGGGTTCACGAAGAGCGCGAAAAAAAACCTGTTTGGACTTGGTCCGTTTGTGGTGCGTGGCTTTTTGGCAGCCACGGTAACTCAATCTGTCTTTTCTTCCCGGATTCCCCAGTTGCCACACCATCCTTGGACAGTTCCCTGTCAGGCTGTGACAGAAGAGCAGTATTAGATTATTCGATGCCACCAGGGCACGACGAGATTAATATACTAACATTGAATATTTTGTCTCAGATTCAAGTTTCAATTAGATCTCCTTTTTTTGAAGGATGCCACCACCCAACCCGCCCAAAACCAAACACATCTTCTGCCCACCTTCCGCCGGCTCACGATTGGAGGCACCTTTGCCTCCGATCGGCCGCCCCGGGTACGTCCCGCTGCCCACGCGCGTGGTCAATGCGCCGCGGCACGCAACTCGAGGTAACTTCAGGTGCCAAGACCACTGTAAGGACCTTTGTGACATTGTGTTTTTCTGGCACACCACCGGTGCCCTCAAAAAAACATTGCTTTTTAACCAAAAAACGTCAAAATAACGACTACATTTCTTCAATTTTGTACATCTCAGGATCCAATGGCACAGGTTTGGGATGCACGAAACAACACTAGGCAAGCATGTTTTGGATTGGGATTTCTAGAGTTGTGTTCCCATCGCTGGCACTTCCAACTTTGTCAGCTTTCAGTTTGAATCAAAACCCGTTCACCCACCTACTCCACCCAACACATTTTGTCGTTTGTGATTGGGGCAGCACAAACATCAATGCTATGAGATCACAGAAACAGAGTCGACACCCGAACAAAAAAATGCTCGGTCAAGCTCGTACCCCAGACCATCCATGGGATTGGTATATTTACTATTGGGGTGGTTGAAAAGGGGGGTCAATGTAAATATGCCAGTCCTTTTTTTCGCACAAAAATGGCGTCCATCCGATGTGTCCACCCAGGCGGAAGATTCCTACTCCTTTGCTCGGGCGGTGCCTCGGACGGGCGTCCGGCAGCGTCCTACAGGGCAGTCTATATGAAATTATATACAAATAATATATAGGGGCAGCTGGCAGCTATACAGGGAGTTCTTGAAGCACTTGGATCGTTTGTTCAACACAGATCAGCACCCATTTCTGTGAGGATCCAGAGTCCAAGGGGATGCTTGTTATGTTGCTTGCTGCATGGATGTCAGAACAGTCCAAAAGCAACATCGGTGTCCTTGTGGGTGGTACTTCCTTGCTACAGGCCCCTACCCGCCGGGACCAGCGTGCCCTCCACCGTTTGGGACCGTGCTACTGATGCTATGTTGCCGGCATCCGCGTCCCAGGTGCAAGGGCATGCCAAGCGGTTGAACTTGGGGGCTGGCAATCCGATCGTTTCGACGGGACGGTGAGCAGAGTCGCTGAAGCGCACATGCGGTTGCTGGCATGTGGCCGGTGGCTGCAGGTGGCTGAAGATGGCCTCATGTTGCATCTTTTTGCCATCCAGATCCATCCAGCGTGTGCAGCCCATCCCTATCAATTCCTGTTCAACCAAAAAGGAGGTGGGTTTGGGATTAAATATGTTTGTGTCGCCTAGCTTGCAAGATGTGTGCCAGTGGATCCAGTGCTCACCACCAGTTCCAAAAAGACTCATCCCTACCAGCACCTTCCAAGGGGTCACCAATGGAAGCCCCTCCTTATGGATCTGACACCCCAATAGCAAGGTCGGTCTGACTATCTCCAATCGAACAGCTTCGGACACCCCTTACGCTGAGTTCCACAGCTCGGCGCCGTCACCTCCGTTGAAAAGTGGTGAAAAAAACACATCTGACGGGTGCTTCGCCAGCAACCTGGCCTTCGCCACGTCCAGTCCAAGGATTCCAAGAATAGAACGGAATGGGAGATCGAAGGTTGCTGAAATGTTCCATCTTCACGTAGAATGATCAAGCATGAATGAACCCATATATAATGAATTCATGTGGCTTGGGCTCACCAACCTGTCTTCAGCTTCACGTCGAAGTCTGCGGCCCAAACGGTGGTCCGACGACTTCAGTCTCACGGCAGAAGGAAAACCTTCCTTCAGCCATGGCTGTCCCATGAAGATGAGACAGGAAAAAGAGGTCGAGTTGGGTGCATGAGCGCACCCTGGTGTATGCGAAACTGGGTTACTCAGACTTTCTAGGTCAGTCAGTGATCTGCTTTTGGAACCACTGATTCCCGAATATGTGGATTGTAGATATTATATACAGTGGTAATTGAATGTATACTTGAATTGAACAACGAAGACCTGTTCTGAGAGGTACGGAACTGTCTAGCTAGCTTGCCCACATGGATAGCATTCGAGCCCAAAGGGAATGCCCGAAATGCTTCCTCCTTTGCGAGCAGCAGTCCAGGTCTGGCGTGACCCCATAGGTCAGGAATGCGTCCTTTTGGGCAACACGACTAGCTGCGGGATTTGAGGTGGATCGACTTGGATGACTCCTGGAAACCATGTTTTGTTCATGGTGAGTGGACGAGAAACATCGAGAAACTCTCAAGCTGTTTTCGTCCCTTGCTTTGATTCTCCTTCACGGCAAATGTCGCAAACAGCAAATGTCGGCAAATGAGGGAGCGCCGTGCACGATCGCCGTGCACCGTCGTCGCAGGATGAAGTTCGAAGATTTGGATGAGATGCTCAAGACCTGCACGGCGCCCCCCCCTGCAGTTTGAGTCTGGTGGTATGGCCGGGCCCCAGGGCAGCCCGTCACCTAGCCCGGGAACGGCCTACAAGTCTTGCCATGAAAAGAGATGATAGCTCATGCTAGGCCTGCTAAGCTATTTTGGGCCCACAACCGGCTCATAAGGCCTCAAGGCTCGTTTCCTTACCTTTCACTCTCAAGTACTAGCGCAAAAATTAGAGATCCCACATACAAGTCATGGCTGTAACTCATGGAGTGTCGGCTGTATCAGCCTGTATTGCAGATCGCCCAACGTGTTGGAACGTAGGATTTGTGAAAAGCCCAATGGTTGTCACAATCCAGAGTTATCCCTTTCATCAACCCTGCAAAGTAGGGTAGGTTGACCTCTCCGGCAGTCCATTCTCTTCATTTTTGCGGGTCAACTTTGCAGGGTGATGTTGGTGTTGATGAGTCCCAGATGATCCCAGTAATTAAAAACAAATAATATATATATGTATATTATGTATATATATAATTATTGTAATATATATATATATAGTTTAAATAGATCATCATATCTATGTATATATATATATCATAAGAATAAGTTAATAAGTGCATCGTGTACTGCAATATATGTAAAATGGACTAGTTGCATAGTGGCACACAATTGTTAATTTGCCCATTGAGCCAACTAACTCTTCTCCATATTGTTTTCCTCTACTAACAGTGCTTTCCGCTTCCACCTTAATGCGTGTGTTGGAATGAGGAGGCCCCCAAAGAACCCTAGCAAATAGACGACAACACCCATTGTTGGTGGGTCTCCTATTCCAAGACGGTCTTTTTTGTATCCCTAGTGGCCCTAGTGGGCCTTAGAATACAAACAAAACTGCAATCAAATTGTTGCTGTGGAGATCGAGATCTTGCTCCGCCTGTAAGAGAACCTCCAAAATTTGGAGTTCTCTTGTTTTTTTCGTCGATCCCATTCGCGGCTCATGAGCTGCGCTCGCTGCGTTTTTTCCACCGCTGCTCGCGCCAAACCGCAGGCGGCGGTGATTTGCCCCGAGCCCTCGGAGGTGCAGACCAGATGGTAATTGAAGTTCTTGCTCCTAGTAGCGATGCACTTGCTACTAGCGATGCCCCTGCTACTAGTAGCTTCTTGCTCCTAGTAGTACGGCCAGGAGCCCCTAGTAGCTTGATAAGTACTGGTGTGACTTCCTTCCAATGCGGTGTATTGCGGTCTGCCATGCGGTGATTGTGACTTGCCGACTGACCGACTGATGTGACTTAACCCTGCGCTCGTAGATGAAGTAGATGGTTTGGGGTTGTCCTTTTACCTGCAACAGTCGAGAAACAAGATCACTTTGAGAGAAAGACCTTTACTAACCATCATCGATCCGCTGTTACTGGTAATGGGATAGACCCAACACATGGTATTTGACTCAGTGTGATGTTAGATGAGGGTCGATTTACTTGTACTACAGGTATCTACAGGGGTGTTAGATGGTATTTAGTACCATTCCTCGTACTGTGCTGCCCATGGTATTGCTTGAGCTACCGTTGCTACTGCTACTATTGCTACTCCCCATCCAAATGCTACGACTACTACTTCCACTTCTACCACACTACTGCCACTAGGCACTGCAGGACTCCCAGTGGGTCTTCGTGCCAGTGTAATCGGCACTCTCACGATGTGCTGGTTTAACCAGGCCTTGGACTCGGCCATGTTTTACCCCATATGGCTCAATTTTCACCATCATGGAGGCCCAGTGGGTCAAAGCACCAGTTTAACTGGAGCTTTGGAAACTCACTAGTTCAACCGTTGGTTGGGCAAAAATCGGAAGCTGGAAGCTTGAAAACGGCAATGAAACACCTAGAAGAAATAGGTCTTGGAAGTTGGTTGGTGAAGTGCGCCCATGAAAACCACCGGTCGTAAACGACCAGTCGTAAACGACCGGTCCTTGGGACCTCCCAGAATCAGGATGGGTAGGTCTTAATGCTCTGTTTGGCTTCTTTTGTTTCTAATAGCTTCTTGTTACTACTAGTAAGGCACTTGTTACTAGAAGCGATGCACCTGTTACTAGTAGCGAACATTGTTTATACATATATATATATATAAGCACTGTACTAATACTACTATATCATTTGAGGGTGAAGTGTGGCCTTTGCTTGAACGTGCTCGTTTTGCACCTGTCCGGACTGGACTTACTGGGACTACTATCATTACCACGTCCACGCCTTTCGCTGCTACTAGTACGCTTGGTTTTCTTAACACAGGTCCATTAACACAACTGCTGCTGCTCCTTTGTTTTGTGTGGGCTTTCTTTCTTGCACATCTCTGCTACAAGACAAAGCATGAACATGCATGAAGTATAATGATGTGAACAGATCAAGACATCAAGAAAATTACCATTCTTTCCAATCGCACGCCTTCTATCAACTTCATGGCTCTTTGTACCTTCCACCCTTCACCCTTCATGCGCTCCCCCCCGGGCAGGCCACGGAGCCCGCCTTGGAGCAAGCGAAGCTGGCGCTGCGTAGCATTTTGTCTGGCGCCGAGGAGCTGAAGGAGGCGACGGTGACCGAGAAGGGACGGATCCGTCAGCGGGATCCGTCGGTGTCGAGGACGTGGGCGGCTGAATCCAGGTCCGAGCTGATTGGATTTGGGATCGCCACGAGGATCGCCACGTGAACCCCGGGGGGGGCACCCAAATGTGCAGTGCCATACCGGCGTTTCGGGTGGCTGGAGGCTTTGAGGGGTGAATTTCCTTCCAAACAGCCAAGCTGGGCGATTTCTTGAACAAGTTTTGAAACAACTTGGCCGGGCCGGACCTTTAGGATTATACATTGAGCGAGAAATGGCACCTTGAAGTGAACCATCCACCAGTTTCAAACCCTTCGATCGCCTGATTTCCCTCACCCTGGTGCCTGGAAGCTGCTGGAAGCGCTGCGAAGGTGATCTTGTTGAGCCATGTGGGGGCGCAGGATGACAAGGGAGGGTTGGAGTGCCTAGATGACTCAGAGTGCCCATCTATTGAACGGTCGGAACGGTGGATCAAGGACAGATCGTTGGTGCAAACGGCCAACACCGGGAGGTTTGGAATGGTTTGGATCATTTGGCCATGGGATATGGTGAATCGGGGAAGTGACGCTGGGATGGCTGGGATGTATGATATGGTGTTGGATGTGTTTGCGTAAAATAATGGTAGTTGTTTGAGAGTGATCATTTTGGATAAGGCACTCAACAAGTTTCGCCTTTTGATGTGTGGCAAGCTAGCAAACACTGGATGAACAGTCTTGCTGCGCTATTCTACACTAGACTGGGTGGGATCATTTTCGACACGCGCTCACTTTGAAGAAGACCTAGACTAGACAGAGGTCGTTGAAATGGAGGGATTGATGGACTGTGAATGGTGTCACTCGGTTTTACATCGTTTTCCGCTTCCAACTGTAGACGTGGTTTGGACATGCAGGTTACAGATTCCTTTTCGATCTGGGAAATCTCTAGACTTCAGGAACTTCAGGCCAGTAATTTGGTACAATTTGTCAGTCCAGGTCCCTCATCGCAGTCAGACCCTCTCAAAGTTGAGTCGCATTGGGGACGTGTCCGGTCCCACCGAAACAGAGTACGGTGCGTTCGAACGAACGAAAATGGTTGATCTCCGACAGGAAATGTCCACAGTTTTGACTCATCCTGGAGCCCAACCAGAAGGGATTCATATTATATAGGTGGTTTGGTGGCTAAGTCAATCATGCACCCTTTTTGGCCTTAGCTTTGCATGTTCCCTAGGGATCCAAGTCCTTCTCAGAAGGTACTTGGACCCTCCAAACCTACATAAATAGCCTCCAATCACCTTCTGAGAAGGTACTTGGATCCCTAGGGGTTCAATGATTGAATGCTTCTTTGTGGTTTCAATGAATATTGAATATTGCTTCCAGACGACATACCAGACAATGTGACGGAACTGATAAAAATTGATAGGACATGATAGAACAGATGTTGAACATGTGCACACATATCGATTGCAAAAGTAGCCTCATGTTAGCTGTGTTGGTGTGAACACATCTTGCATCGTTCATTCCATTTGTTGTTATACATATACATACACATCATATAGTTGTTTTATTGATTTGTTTGAGGCAACGTTGAATTACCTGACTAAGACAAGATAATGATGATACATGATACATTATGATACGGTCATTTAAGGGCAAGATAAGACGAGCGAAGCAATTCAATGCGCTCGTCCACTTGGACGAGGTGGTTTTGCTCAGGTTCAACTTGGGCGCCTTCTTCACGCCCAGTGGCACCTCCTGGGCCTCCATCGAGGCGCCGGAAACCATGGGGAAGCGGAAAGGATTGGTCACAGATAGATGCTGTCAGGTCGGAAAGGTACAGATTCAGACTTCATAAAGGAGGATGAAACCTCGGCCTCACAGGGTGCTAGTTCCACCTAGTGTGCAAAATGTAACATGAACATTACCAGTGCTTGGCAACCTGTGTGCAAGCCGGTTGTCACCGCTAAACTCCGTGCTAAAAATTCATGAACCTTGGGAATTAATTAATGCAGGGAAGCAGGGAGGAGTATGGAGGGTGTTTCCGTCAAGAAAGAATCGTTTGGATAGGCAGAAGCCACTGATGTGGGGTTTTTGGAACTGTAGAGTGGGCATTACAATATCTATATAATTTGTAGAAATATATATGTATATACAGTCACAAGATCGACAGCTGAGCAGTGTGTTATCTTTTTTTGGCTGCATTTTTCCGAAAGGAAACTGCTATAATGAACCGTGACAGGCAGTTCTCGCGGTGTTGTGCATGTGTGAAGGCATGGATGGACTCCATCGTTGTGGTTCAGGAAGAGCATTCTTTTGACCCATGCATTTCTTTCGTCAGCAGGACCTGTGACATTGAAGTCTTGGAGTGCTACTGCAAAATGGTTCTAAGGTGTTCTGGACTTAGTATGGTACAGGGATTCTAGGAAACTTGGCCTCCCTGCCACTCAAGCACAGCTGGTGCACCGGAAACCTCGAGCATTCCCGAAAGCAGGATGAGCTGACTTCGACCGCACCTGGGTTGATCGGAGTGTCGCGCCACCTGCGGCATGGCTGTGGGTCAAAAGAATCGACCCCACTGAAGACTAACATGGCCCCTGAAACCCACTGGTTTGTCAGAGGAAAACAGTCGGACTCGGGGCCATTCGACCCGGGTCCAACTGTGAGTCTTCGGGAGTGCAAGATTCAAGCCACTCGGACTCAGAGTTGAACTTTTTTGGTCGATCCTCTTGTGCCTTGTTTGGGTTTGGCCCAAAGATTGGAAGACATCAGCGTGCTGCAGACTTTTAAGCCACAGTGCAGTGGGGTTTAAAGCGGAAGTAGCAAGGTTCGAGGGTGCTAGAAGGGAAGAGGGACACCATCAGCATTCCACAGTTTGCAGACAAGTTTCATCCTCAGCCCAAGTATTTACTTTGGCACGTCGATTCGAAACCTGACCTTTTCTTGGAGCCTTTCCTCGATAACACTTTTGAGAAAAGTGAGATCACAGAGCAGAGAGACTGCCATGTTGCATTCCGAAATGACTGTCCAATGGACTATCACGTGCATGGGCTAGCCTGGTCCAGTGACCCCGATGACCCGTTGTGATGCTGGCACTTTAGTATGGCGGAACAAAGATGATCCTTAGACTTCCAAGATTTGCTCTCCAGAATCCTACACAGGAGCCGACCTACTGTATAATGTGTTCTCCAGCTGAGGCCAGGGCTCGCAGCACCAATCGCCCGCTGCGCTACGTCATCGTTGGGCTGCTCAGTGGTTTTCATCTACTGAAGTCGGTGACATTCTGGTCGTCCTTCACCAGTGAAACCAATGGCCGGATGGTTTCAGATAGTTGATGATATTTGTAACGTTCAACCTTTGACTGATGATGGATTCAATCTTTGCACCTCCCTCACCATGTAGTTACTGTATATGTAGTTTCCCTGCAAGAAGTGCTCAAACAGGATGATGGATGGTACTGACTCCAATTTTTGCTCCGTGAGTTGAAACCACCAACCAGCAATCAATTTAGAGACTGATAAAACACCTCGTGCCTTCTATCAGGCTTTCGATTATATATATGTCCCAGTCTTCGCAGTCTTTCAGATGCTCCTCTCTTAAACCCGGGGGCTTTGAATTCGATTCCACCGAGATCAGGTGCGCGTCGCCGATCCACCCGAGACGGTCTCCAGCGCCGGAGAGGCGGACGCTGCCGTTCTTCCGGAGACTGACGGAGGGAGTGCGAAAAGGGCAATGGGTCCCAGTGTTGCGAGGGGCGACTGGCTATGGTTCCGAGGTGCGTTTTTGTTGTGTTCTTTCTGTGCTCTTGAAACCAGAAACTGGTTAGACCTGTTTGGACCAACCTGTTGGATTTGGGGCCACACTATCTAAAGGTTGATGCAGGGAATTGTCAGCACAGGTTGCTCGAGGTTCAGGGCGCCGAAGGATCAGTTGGTTGGAAGTGGCCGGGCAGGACCTGGAGGGAGCAATCCTGGACAATACCTGTACGCCGCGTACGCCTACAAGGATTCGCAGATTCGAAGTACCAGTTCCTTGAGCTGCATTGTATATCATGCGGGGATATGCGGGGTAATCACTCTAAATGTATCATGGTCATCCAGGGACACTGGATTCGTGCACCAGCATTGTCTTGCCCCTGAAGCCGATGGTTGGTCCATGGGCGCAGGAGCAGACGGCTCATGAGCTACGAACCCAGCTTTCCATTTTCACCCCTTCTTTCGCACGTGACAACATGTGACGGCACATGTGACGAGTGATATATGTGGCGCACACCTGACTGTTTGGCTGCTCGGAGGAGCTCGCAGGAGCGGGCAAAATTTTGCTGAATTGTAGAATTGTACCGCCTCCGCTGAGTTGCCGGAAAAGGCGCCTTCCTGCTACATTCGTTTAGGCAGAGGCTTGGTCTTTTTGGATCTCCACTCCGGCTTTTCGAAGGAAATGACGAGATTGTGGGGCACGGCAGCTGGCACAACCATCAGGGTGTGAATCCTGCAGGTGCGAACGGAGCCTGTCAATGCGAGAGAACGAGAGCCTGTCGCTCACCCAACAGCGAGCTTTGCAACGCTGGTTCTTCTCCAACGTTGCTCACCAGGACATGGCTGGGAGGAAGGACCATCCAAAAGTGCGAAAGATCAGCGAGATTATTCGTATACGGTAGTTTGACCCCATACCCACAAGTATCCCAAGTCCAATAGTCACCTTTTTGCTGTTGCTAGTATGTCGATCTCCAGTATACAGCATATGCAGCAATCATTCAAGGCCATAATAGAATATTCATAATTGCATATAGGCAAAGTTTGGTTTGTCCGAAAGAGTTCCTGCGCGCTGCAGACATTACATTTCTTTCGAGAAGCGACTCGCTCAACTCTTTTCTGGTCAGAGAAGATTGTCACCATCAAACGCATTCCTGAATAATTTTGGAAACATGCTTTGTTGGACTTTCATTGTACAGATATGTGTTACGATTCGTAGACGCCAATCAAGTTCTTAATGTTGTATCCTTGCCCCACTTGTTGAAACTCTGGATGATCTGGGATATCCCAGTGTTTTGTTTTTGCATCCTCACAGATCTCGCCTGCCGCAGGTGCGCTGTTTTCCGGCTGCAGAAGGCTGGTCGTGAACAGCATGCGCTCCTGATGTTCGGTTCAAAAATCTCCAAGAGTTCCAAGTTGATCCAGTAGGACTTACATAGCGCGTCGGAACGCACGCGGATAACATCTGATACCACTGGAATGTGCACAGTTGGAATGTTTGACTCCGTTTGTCGGGCGATGTTGGAAACCAATGGAATCCAGCACGTTGAGGCCATCCGACGCGTGAAGATCCCGTTTCTTCAAGCTACAGCGTTTTTTTGCTGATCTGAATTCTCCTGCCCCATGCTGGAGCATATCCATCCAGTCAGCCAAGGTTTTCTTGAACATACAAACAAAGAGACCGGTGTATGGGCAGTAGACTGGTCTATGTTCTTCCTTCCAGGTGTTCAAACTGGGAGGTCTCCGAGTTTCCCTATTTGAGTTACACACTCATATCGATCTTCTTGCATTTTCCACTCATATCGCCCATGCAGGTGCACCGGTCTCAGGAAGCACGAGCCTGGATACTGCGGCAGAGGCCATTTTTCAGGCGCGTGGCTCCCTGGACATTTGGGGCCTCCTGGTGGGGGACCTGAAGCCGAGTGAGGACTGTCCGTTGAAACGCATGAAAACCCCAGATGGAGGTCACGTATGGAGGTATCGCCATGGAGGTACCAGTTAGTGAGTGACTAACCCGAAGAGTGGGGAAGGGTTCGGTTTTGTGTTATTTGTCTCATGGACTTGTGTTGTGTGGGCTGAATATCGTCTAAGCTTCATGTTGTTTGGGACCATGGGATGGCCACTCCATTGGTCTCCACATGTCTCCACCACAGGTCGCAGGCCGGGACTGCAGGTCGCGAGGTGGCGAACGGCGAACGGGGAACGGAACTCATCGAATGTGCGGAACGAGGAACGAGACGAGATGTGAGGAATCTCCATTTAGTAGCGTCCTTGCTCCTAGTAGTAAGGCACTTGTTACTAGAAGCGATGCACTTGTTACTAGTACTCGTAGCGTCCTTGCTCCTAGTAGTAAGGCACTTGTTACTAGAAGCGATGCACTTGTTACTAGTAGCGTCCTTGCTCCTAGTAGTAAGGCACTTGTTACTAGAAGCGATGCACTTGTTACTAGTAGCGTTCTTGCATCTAGTAGTAAGGCACTTGTTACTAGAAGCGATGCACGTGTTACTAGTAGCGTCCTTGCTCCTAGTAGTCAGGCACTTGTTACTAGAAGCGATGCACTTGTTACTGGTAGCGTCCTTGCTCCTAGTAGTAAGGCACTTGTTACTAGAAGCGATGCACTTGTTACTAGTAGCGTCCTTGCTCCTAGTAGTAAGGCACTTGTTACTAGAATCGATGCACTTGTTACTAGTAGCGTCCTTGTTCCTAGTAGTCAGGCACTTGTTACTAGAAGCGATGCACTTGTTACTAGTAGCGTCCTTGCTCCTAGTAGTAAGGCACTTGTTACTAGAAGCGATGCACTTGTTACTAGTAGCGTCCTTGCTCCTAGTAGTGAGGCACTTGTTACTAGAAGCGATGCACTTGTTACTAGAAGCGATGCACTTGTTACTAGTAGCGTCCTTGCTCCTAGTAGTAAGACACTTGTTACTAGAAGTGATGCACTTGTTTCTAGTAGCGTTCTTGCTCCTAGTAGTAAGGCACCTGTTACTAGAAGCGGTCCACTTGTTACTAGTAGCGTCCTTGCTCCTAGTAAGGCACTTTTTACTAGAAGCGATGCACTTCTTAGTAGTAGCGTTCTTGCTCCTACTAGTAAGGCACTTGTTACTAGAAGCGATGCACTTGTTACTAGTAGCGTTCTTTCTCCTAGTAGTAAGGCACTTGTTACTCCAAGCGATGCACTTGTTACTAGTATCGTTCTTGCTCCTAGTAGTAAGGCACTTTTTACTAGAAGCGATGCACTTGTTACTAGTAGCGTTCTTGCTCCTAGT